TAACACTTACACCTTCTTACTCACGTTATTTAATTTTTAATGGCAGATTTAATTAATGGAGGCCAGGCCTCCTGCTTTCAGATGTGCATGTGGGGCAGCTGGAGGAGGAGGAGGGGCAGCTGTTTACAGGGCAGAGGAAAAGACTGCAAATTTGGGAAACGAAAGAGTCCGACGGGAAGGAAAATCACCCAGAAATAATAGTCCCTGGTCACTGGGTGCTAGTTAATGTGTGAGAATTCGGTAGAGTGCACTTCAGAGAAGTTTCCCAGTGTCTCTCAGTGGGCAGCAGGGCTCCTTTACAGGCACAGTCACGCTGCCTTCCCAGGCACTGTGCTGCAGGGTTCCAGGAGCTCTCTAGAACTGATGGCCTAGCCAGGGAGAACTGGACGCCATCGTCCACACAGCTGCCAGAATGTTCTTTTAAAAACACAAATCAGCTGGGCACAGTAGGTCACACCTATAATCCCAACACTTTGGGAGGCCAAGGCAGGCAGATCACTTGAGCCCAGGAGTTTGAGACCAGCCTGGCCAACATGGCGAAACCCCCTCTCTATAAAAAATACAAAAATTAGCTGGGCAGGATGGTGCATGCCTGTGGTCCCAGCTACTGGGGTGGCTCTGAGGTGGAGATAGCTTGAGCCCAGAGGTCGAGGTTACAGTGGGCTATGATCAACCACGGCACTCCAGCCAGGAGTGAGGCCCTGCCTCAGGAAAAAAAAAAAAAAAAAAATCCTCCCTGCCCCTCCATCACTGAGAAAGGAAAGCCTTCTTCACCCTCATTGCCCATGAGGTACAGTCCAAGCTTTTCAGCCTACAGCTGGTGTCCTCCACGTCCCCTTCTGGCCATTGCCCTGTGCCTCTGCAGCAGCAGTGGCGTCTCTTGCCCCATACACAGCCCTGTGGCAGCCTCAGGCTCCTCGCACTACTGCCTGTGTTCAGGAGACCTCCCTCTCATTTGGCTCATTTCTGCTCATCCTTTAAAATTCATTAAAATGGATATACCCTTTGACCCAAGAATTTGACTTCTACAATGTTCCCTACGGATATACTTAGGCACCAAGTTCTAGATGCCAAGATGTTCCTCTTAGCTTTGTTTATAATAGTAGAAGACTAGAAACGACCTCTGTACAAGGATAGGTAGCTGCTTGACTGATACTCAAGGGATGATACTACAAAGTATTCATTCCTACTACTAAGTGCTGGTCAGCCAGAGTGGGTGAGGTCTCTGAGGATCAGTGGAAAGATGAGGTGTGGCACATTGTGTCTGCTGCAGTCCAGTGAGCATCAGGAACAAGTGGGGCACGTGTGTGCTCACACACACTGAGGGCTGAGTCCAGACTGGCCAAGAGGCTCACTGTTCACTGCATACCTTCCATGCTTTCCACTTTTGTTTTTTAAAACCATATGTAAGTACTTTTCAAAAACATTCTTTAGTGTAAATAAAAAAGATTAAGCCTCAGTTAGGTATTGGCTCCCAGGAAGTCAGTCTGACCCATGGTTTCTGCCAGGCTGTCCTTTCAGGTGCCCCACAGCACCTGGGATGACTGGCTGAGTGCCCCATTGTAATTATGATGCCACCATCTCAGAGCTCCACGAGGCCAGGGAGCAAGCCACACTTGTCTCAGAACCCTCTGGCACTTGGCGTGTTCTCAGTATGCACGTTGGTAGTGTCCAGTCCTTCTAGATGCCCTGACCTGGTGATTGGTTGAGGAGTCCACAGAGTGCCCTGCCTCCCCAGAAGAGGGAGTCTGGGTCCAGCAGCCTTGGAAAGGCCTGATGGTTGAGCAGCTTTGTGAACACAGGAAGCCGGCTCGGTACTCCCAAGTTGTGAACCGGAGACCTTCGAGTGCCAAGGGAGCTGCGGTTGTGAGGACATCCGTCCCTGTAGGTCTGCTCAGGCAGATTAGATGAGGAGGGTAGGCAGGTCAGGACAGGACAGGATGGGGAATTTCTCTGAGTCATTCTGAGGAACAATAGAGGAAGCTGCAGCGGGGTAATCACAGCCACTTCTTGGCCTGTGGGTACTTCCTGTGACAAATCAAGTTGACCACATGTTCAAACTGAGCTTGCAGTCAAACCCAAGCGCTATCCAAATTCACCAGAGCCAGGCTATTTCTGGCAGTATGGCATCTTGAACATAGTCTCTGAGTGTCTCCTGAAGCCCACAGCGGGCCGAGCCCATCTGGGTCAAGGATTCGCTCTCTGAGAAGGTCGGCAACAGGTGCCTGGGCCTGCAGGACGGTGACCTGACACTCCGGAGTCCTGTGGGCACAGCCATAGGAAGAGGGGTTTGGCTCAAAGAGAAGGCCTGAGCCATGAGGTTGTTTTGTGGGAAAGGAGGTAGGCCAGGATGAATTGTGGGGGGGCGGGGCTTAGGATGAGGCATATTTTAGCTCTGGAAAATTCAGTGGCTGTGGTAGGCTGAGGTGGGTGCTGTGTGCCAAACTGTCTCTCCGCTAACTGCAGGCTGGGTAATACCCTGTGTTGCTGTTAAGAGAAGTGACTTACCCAAAGAACACCACCAGCATATGCCAAAGCACAAATCAAAATGTGGGTCTGTGGTCCATGCCGTCTCCTGATGAGGTCTCATGAAGGGGAACTTCAGACGGAGCTAAGCAATCCCCACCCAGGCTGTGGCGGAAGGGCGTTTGCATGGAGTGGGAGGGAGGCCCGAAGTTGTTATGTCTCTGTCCCTATCGCCTCGCCCAGGACAGGCAGTGCTGGTGAATACTAGACTGGTCGAGGTGAAGACATAATCTCTCGTTTGAATGTGAGGGCTCTAGAGAGAACACTGGAGCCACCTTGCTGGGCATTTTGGCAGCAGCTGGCTGTGGTGGGAGGAGAACCTGTATTTACTTTGTGCCTGCTGTGTGCCGGGAGGGTTGGCATTTCCCAGCTGGCATTCCTGGTAGCCATAGAAGGAGGCATCCATTATCTCCTTGGCTCAGAAGCGAGGAGCAACAAGGTGACTTACCTAAGCTCACCAGGCAGTGGAGGGTGAAAGGCCCAGAAGTGGCCCCCAGGCCTCCCTGACTCCCCCAGCCCAGCCCAGGTCAGAATGCCAGCACCTGGTGTTTCTTCCTCATCCCGTGAGCCAAGTGCTCTTCCCCAGGGGCTCACCTTCCACATTTGCCTCCCAGTCAGCATTTCTCTGAGGCCACAATGCAGCAGGGGAGTCCTTGGGGTAAGACTAAAGGGGGGGCCTGGTTTCCATCTGGACCTGCCTTCCATGCCCTATGGCCTTAGAGGTGGGGGTCCATCCCTGCCTCAGTTACCTTCCATGCAGAAGGCTGAGGGAGTCCATGGTGCACAGGAAGTGCTTTCCCTGAGTGACTCTGCCCCTGCGCACCTCTCACTTCCTGTCTGCCCAGCTTCAGCCAGGCTAGCTGTGTGCCTAGTGGGCAGAGAGAGCCAAGCTGAAGTCCTACAAATGTGCAAGGCAATGCAGCTCTAAAGTTCCTTCACTGCCACACAGGCGTGTTTCAGGGACTGACTGATCTGTGCCTGCAGTAGGTACCTGAGGCCTGAAGCTCCCATTTGCTCATCTGTAGAACAGGGATAATCATGCTGCCCGTATGAGCTTTTTTTTTTTTTGGAGTTTCACTCTTGTTGCCCAGCCTGAAGTGCAGTGGCAGTCTCGGCTCACTGTAACCTCTGCCTCCCAGGTTCAAGCGATTCTCATGCCTCAGCCTCCCAAGTAGCTGGGATTATAGGCGCCCACCACCACACCCAGCTAATTTTTTATTTTTAGTAGAGATGAGGTTTTGCCATGTTGGCCAGGCTGGTCTTGAACTCCTGATGACCTCAGGTGATCCACCCACTTCAGCCTCCCAAAGTGCCCATGTGAGGCTTTGAGGAGTAGATGTGGTTGTGTCTGCAAAAGATCTGACCTCAAGCCAACTCCACGTGACATCTGCTGCGCCTTCCTCACCCGCACCGGGGAGGTCTGACCACGGGCCCTGCCCCACCTCAGGTTGTTTCATTTCTGAAACTGCTCCCTCATGAGTCAGCCCAAGGCTGGCCTTCTCCCTGCTGCCTACACGTCCATGTGTGGGCTTCACCACACTCCCACCTGGAGCACGGCAGGAGGCTGCTAGCATATGTGTTAATGTCCGTCTCCCCTCAGAACATGCGAAGGTGCTGGAGCTTCACAAAGAAAGGAAGATGGGGGCCTGGGCCTTTGTGGCCTGGAGCAGCTCGCCTCTGAGGCACAGCAAAGTTCCATAACCTACCCACAGCCACATGGTGGTGGCACCAGGACTTAGACCCAGCTGTGTTTTGCCCCCAGGCCTGGGCCTTCCCTCCACAAACCTGGGTCTGTAGGTGCACATGTACTGGGTGATCTCAGGACAAATTAAGTGTGTACCTGTGGATGCTCCCCTCAACAATCTAGACAGATGGTTCCTGTTCCAATGAGTAGGGTGGTCAGGGTAGGCAGCAGAGTGTGTCCCAGACTGGGAATCCAGACACCTGGGTTGTAGTCCTGACACTGCCCCATTGCTCTGTGACTTTGGACAAGTCATTTCACCTCTCTGGGAAGGAAAGTCTACCTGTAAAATAGGGGTTGGACCAGATCAAGACTGAGCAATTTTTTTCTTTAAAGATAGTAAGTATTTTAAGCTTTGTAGGCCATGTAGTCTCTATCATAGCTGTAGCACAGAAGCAGCCACAGACAATACGTGAACAAATGAGCGTGGCTGTGTGCCGGTAAAACCTTATTCACAAAAACAGGTGGCAGGCCGGATTTTGCTCGTGAATCGTGGTTTGCTAACCCCTGAGCTAGAGGATCTCATAACGCACTTGCAGCCATTGCTACTCTAGGATTCTGTAGCAGCAGCCATGTGTGGCGGAGCTGGAACCCAAGCTGTGGATTAATCACCAGTCGGCTTTGATGCCGGTCAAGAAATTAGCATCTGTCAATTTCTAATGTGGTTGCATCCTATGAGGGAGCAGAGGGAAATTTCAGTCTTTGGTAACCAGTTCTGTTTTTCTCCTTGTAGAATGCTGAGATGTATAAACTGTCTTCACAGCAATTCCATGAGGCAGCTTCGAAGATGGAGAGCACAATAAAGTAAGAATATGTTTATTATTCTTTGTAAACTTGGCCCACATTTGTAAAAATTCCCACATGTGGCTAGAAACCTGCCACCACCTGCCTAATTTCAAGTTTCCCTAATAATACACACAACCATCTGTTCCTCAGCTCTCTCACCTGGATCTGAGGTAGCCATTGGTCATCTGTAATTGGCCAAATTAGCACTCAGTTCTTATCTAGCTCCTTGGCAAATTGGATTGGGGCTGAGGTAGACTTGCAGAGTTATTTTCAGGGCCCAGTGTCTGGTGAGCAGGGGCTCCTTTCCTTGTGTAGCTAGCTGAGGAACTGGCCGTCAGGCCCCAGAAGGAGTTGGGGCAGGAATTCTGCTGGCTTCTCTCCCCTCTGACTGTGGGGGGGTTTTCAGGGGAAGGTATCCCCTCTCAATGCTTCCTGTGCCTGGTACGTGCAGTGCACCCTGTGTGCACTCCTGCTCGGGGTGGCCCACACTTCATGCCCAGAGGAACTGAGGCCCAGAGAGCTGCTGGCTTGCTCAGATCACACAGTCCTAAGTGCCAGCATTCTGTCCCCTGTCTGTGGTGCTCCTGTACCATCCATTGAGGACTCAGGAGCAGGGAGGTGCTCACAGTGTGCCCAGTACCAATGTGGCTCTACTCAGTCAATAGTACAGTTCCCTGGAAGGTCAGAAAGTGATCCTTGCTGGAAGGAATTGGGTCTTATGGGTTCTCTGTGTGAAGTTGGTCTCTATGGACCTGAGGGACCTTCATAAATTAGCCAAGGGGCTACCACCAACTCCATCCACTCCCTGGGAAGGCTGCTCCCTCCCAAGAGTGAATTGGGGCAATTCACCCAGCAGCCCTCAGGGCACAGAGTTGTGAGCAGTGGGTCTGGCCTCATGAGAAAGAAGTGTCAGAGACAGGTTTGCATGATACTTGTAAAAACAGCTGTGCAGAGAACTGTGAGAAGCTAGAAGGACAGGGGGGACAGACGAACAGTCAGTATAGATCCAAAGGCACAGAATAGGACAGGCAACAATGTAGGCTGGTGTGGGGATCTTTTTTTGAGACAGGGTCTCACTGTGTGGGCCCTGGAGTGTAGTGGCGCAATCATGGCGCAATGCAGCCTTGACCTCCTGGGCTCAGGTGATCCTCCCACCTCAGCCTCCCAAGTAGCTGAGACCACAGGTGTGTGCCATGCCCAGCTAATTTTTGTATTTTTTGTAGAGATGGGGTTTCACCATGTTGCCCAGGCTTAGTGTAGGGGTTTTCTTCTTGAACACTAAACACCTAAAGCTCATGGGGATACTATATATTGTGGCAGAGCCATTTAAGAATGAGTTTAGGGAAGAGAAAATAATTATCTTGAAATTTTGCTAGATGTGGTGGCTCACACCTGTAATCTCAGCACTTTAGGAGGCCAAGGTGGACAGATCACCTGAGGTCAAGAGTTTGAGATCAGCCTGGCCAACATGGTAAAACCCCATCTCTCCTAAAAGTACAAAAATTAGCCGGATGTTGTGGCACATGCCTGTAATCCCAGCTACTTGGGAGGCTGAGGTGGAAGAATCACTTGAACCTGGGAGGTGGAGGTTGCATGAGCTGAGATTGTGCCACTACATTCCAGCCTGGTCTACAGAGCGAGACACCATCTCAGAAAAAAAAAAAGAAGACCAATTATCCTGAAATTTCAAGTCCTGTAGCAATACTAGGAGCCTGGGAGGAAGAGAATCTTCCAATAGGCAGATAGAGACAAGGACAGGTGTTGAGATAGAAGCACAGCCCTGCTGATACTGGGACCACACAGAGCCTGAGTGAGTGAGCACCAAGGCTGCCTGCATCCAGGAGTTGGAGGGTGCTGTACTGCCCTGCAGGGTGTGAGCCACCCCACACACAGACAGCCTGCCCCCACTGATGGCCAGCCCTCAACCTGTTTCTGAAGGGTTCCCCCTGGTACGTCCTGTTCATCTGGGGCTGAGAAATACCTGGAATCACAGAACATTGAGAAGGAGAGCTGTGGTGGCAGCCACATCAAAGAGGCTGATGAGTGACAGCTACAGCATGGATGTGATCCCTGGAGGTGGGCCAGGCCACAGCTGCTGCCCCTTCTCTTACCCAAGCAGCTTCTTTCAGGGCCAACAGCCCCTCCCTTTTTACCTGGAGCCAGGACCCACCTACCAAGGAGAAGATGCACTGGGGGAGAAGCTAGGCAGCTTTCTGTTGATAACCATAATGCTTGTCACCTGCCAAGTGGCCCACCATCATTGGGCAGCCCCTTTGTTAATTTGGCTTTATTGTCATAGCCTTTCTCATCCTCATATCCCCCAAAGGCAAGGTCGATGGATGTGAATGTATTTTTAATCTGAGTGAAGCATAAGGGTTTTTTGTGTGTTTGTTTACAGCATCCCTTGATAATAATTACCACTATTTACAAGCAGTAAGTATCTGCAAGGCATTTCAACTCCATTCTATATTTACTCTTGTTAGTTTCACATAGAAGTGAAGAGTCTGGAGAGGTCAAATAACTCCTTTTGTCCGTGGTCACAGCTAGTTCTGTGGCAGGGCTGGAGTTGCTCTTCCTTTGTCTGTCTTTGCATCATTGCTGTCCCTTGCAGGCCCTACCTGGACGTAAGATGGCAGCAGGGTGGAAGTCTCAGAGCCTGCCTGGGTTTTGGACTCCGACCAGGGCTCAGACCTCAGCCCCGCCCCTTAGCAAGTCACTTCACTTCTACAGGCCCCCGTTTCCTCACCTACAAAACAAACAGGACACACTCTTTAATCTTTAAGTGATAATTAAGCAAGATTCCACATAGAAAGTTGACCTAGGATGTCAACAACTGTTGTTGATATTAGTGTGACTATTTGCTATGGACTAAATGTTTTGTCTCTCCAGAACTCAAAGGTTGAAACCTTACTCCCAATGTGATATTAGGAGGTGGGGCCTCTGCAAGGTGCTTAGATCAGGAGAGTAGAGGCTTCGTGAGTGGGATTCGTGCCCTTATAAAAGGGACTCCAGAAAGCTCCCTTTCCTTTTCTACCATGCTGAGGTCACAGAGAGAAGACACAATCTATGAACCAGAAAGTGGGCCCTCACCAGACATCAGATCTGCCAGTGCCTTGATCTTAGACCTCTCAGCCTCCAGAACTGTAAGGAATAAACGTCTACTGTTTATAAACTGCCCAGTCTCTATAGTACTCTGTTATAGCAGCCTGAATGGGCTAAGATACTGTTAATAATGGCAGTCATTTTGGTCACTATTTTATAGCACCTAGCTTGGTATACAGTAGAACGGATTTGATATATAAATTGAGTTTATAAAAACACTTTTCCTTTTCCCAAATATATAAACAGGAAGCAGTATACAGTTAGAAATTATTTAACTTAAACATCAAGATAAATCTTTGAGATATTTCTTGGATTAACAAATATTGTAAATTACATCATAAATGTCATAGAAATAAATGCCAACTGCTGATAGCAGTAATATTGAGGAGTTTTCTTCCAAGACCATGGAGTATGTTTTAACAACTTTGAGTAAACTGTTTGCTTAGATGGTAAACTAGATGTCCATGTATTCATTCATTCATTTAATACACATGTATAAAGTGCCTGCTGTTTGCCAGACACCATGCTAGGCCCTGGGGACACAGTGATGAACAGGACAGCTGCAGTCCCTGCCAGCAAGGAGCTTATAACATTTGGAGAATGACAAACTATGTTTTAAAATTAATTGCACAACAAGCAGTTACCCAATTAACTGATTATAGCAATGAGTGCCATGAAAGAAAGAGTCTAAGTTAGAAAGAACATGTCACATGGTGGGAAAAAGCATTTTAAACAGAAGGATTAGTATGTGCAAAGGCCCTGAGACAAGAAGCAATTTAACTTATTGAAGGAATTGAAAAAAGGCCAGTATGTCTGGAGAGTAATGAATGAGAAGAGAGAAAAAGAGGAAGCTCCAAGAAGTGAGCATGAGCCAGACCATGCAGAACTTTGTAACCATAGTAGGAATTTTAACTTGATCCTAAGGGCAGTGAAATTACCTTTTTCAAAGCTTTATTTATCTTCTAATGTATGCGTTTAAGGCTACAAATTTCTCTATAAATACAGCTTTAGCTACAAGTTTTGATATATTGTATTTTTAGTATGAATCAGTTAAAAGATTTTTCCAGTTTTCCTTCTGATTTCTTTTTTACTCATAGGTTATTTCAAAGTATATTGTTTAATTTCCAAACATTTAGGGGTTTTCTAGTTACCTTTTTTATAATTGGTTTCTGTTTAATTCTTCTGTGATTAGAGAACATACTCTAAATTCTTTGAAAATTTTTGAAACTTGATTTATGGTCCAGTATATGATGTGCTTTGGTAAACTGTCCATGTGCATTTAAAAAGAACGTGTATTCTGTCAGTAGATGTAGTGTTCTGTATTGTCAATTAGGTTAAGTTGGTTAGTCATGTTCAAATTTTCTGTATTTTTAATGACTTACAGATTTATTGTTTTTTTCTGACACTTTCCTTCTGAGTAATTTTTTTTTACTATTTCTTTTCTCTTTCTTTCTTTTCTTTCATTCTTTTTTTTTTTTTTTTTTTTTGGACAAGGTCTCACTCTGTCACCCAGGCTGTAGTACAGTAGCATGATCACAGCTTACTGCAGCCTCAACCTCCTGGGCTCAAGAGATTCTCCCACCTCAGCCTCTTGAGTAGCTAGGACCACAGGTGTGCACCACCAGACTTGGCTAACTTTTTAAATTTTTAGTAGAGAAAGGGTTTCACTATGTTGTCCAGGCTGGTCTTGAACTCCTGGCTTATGCGATCTTCCTGCCTCAGATTCCGAAAGTGCTGGGATTATAGGCAGGAGCCACTGCATGTGGCTGGCCTTCATTATTATTATTTTTTTTAGTGTATCTTTTCTGATAAAAGTTCTATTTTTAATTATATGTAAATACCTTTTTCACCTTCATTTTGAAAAATATAGCAGTCATTTCTTTCAGCTCTTTGAAGATATCTTTACATTCTCCTTT